TGTTTTTTTCACTTGTATCTTAAGGACCATCCCACATCAGCACACAAATCCACCTCTGGTCTAGTAATCCTAACTGTATTTAACCAGCTCTCTATTGCTGGACATTTTGATTGTTTCCCATTTTATTCTGAAATTATAAACAATGCTGTAGTGAACATCCTTATACATATGATGAACTTTTGTAAATACATCCTACAGGGTTCAATCCTACAGGTGAATCAAGGGCTGTGAAGATTTTTAATTTCTTTAGATATCGCTAAATGGTCCTCCAGAAAAGCAGAATTTACTTCATACTGTGTTACAGATTGAAATCTGTCTCCCAAAAAGTTGAAGTCCTAACCTGTGTACCTGTAAATATAAACCTATTTGGAAACAGGGTGTTATGGATTGAATTATGTCCCCAAAAAATGTGTTGTAAATCCTAACCTTTCTGCCTGTGGTTATAATCCCATTTGGGAATGGGTTGTCTTTGTTATGTTAATGAGACAAGATTAGTATAGGGTGTATCTTGAGTCAATCTCTTTTGAGATTAAACAAGCAAGCAGAGAGATGGGCTAAGATCGATGCCAAGACCCATGGAGATCTCCAAGGAAACAGGAAGGAGAAGCTGAAGAAACAAGCACCTTCTTCCAGAGCCGACAGAGAGAGAAAGCCTTCCCCTAGAACCAGCACCCTGAATTTGGACTTCTAGCCTCCTAAATGGTGAGAAAATAAATTTCTGTTTGTTAAAGCCATCCACTTACGGTGTTTCTGTTATAGCAGCACGAGATAACTAAGATATAGGGGATCTCTTTTGTTACGTTAATGAAATCATACTAGAATAGGGTGGATCCTAAACCTAATCCCTTCTGAGTAGTGTCTTACAAAAAGGGAAAACAGACACAGAGAAGGACACACACAGGGGAAGAGACCACGGGAGGAACCATCACCAGCCTACAAGCCAAGGAATGCCAAGGAACACCCAGCGCTACCAACAAGGAAGGACCCTCCCCTAGAGCCGAGGCCCTAATTTCTATTTTCTAGCCTCCAAAACTGTGAGACAATAAATTTTTGTTCTTTAAAGGCACCCACTCTGTGGTATTTTTATAGCAACCAATCTGTTCCCTGTTTTTGTATGGCCTTCTAGTTACATTTTTAAGTTTGGCCTTTTGTACCTGGTTTCTGAAAATAGCCAAGCAATTAAGGTGCTCTTTGTCTTTCTAAAATAGCTAGGCAAGTAGGGGCTACACAGGCCCCACACCTGGTGCACTACCTCCAGGAAGTCATTAATTGGGTCGATCATAACTATGCACAAAGGCCTCAGTCCAATGACTAGGGAGGGGACTTTGGACCTTGGAGCTTCCTCTCTGGAGCTTCCAGGGTTGGTGAGAACATCCATGCATAGGAGAGGGAGTGGCATGTCCCTGGGGACAATGGAAGCCTCCAGCAGGGACATCCAGACCTCGCCTGACGCATCTCTTCACTTGCATCCTTTCTAGTTATAATAAATGGGTAACAGTAAGTATAGGTAATAGTTTCTGTAAGGTCTGTGAGTCATTCTAGTGAATTATTGACCACACCAGGAGCAGTGAGAACCAGCAGAGAGGCTGGTGTTTGCCTATTTGGCAGGGGCTAGACGGACAGAGTCCTAACTTGTAGAGACCCAACTCTGGGTGATAAAGTGCCATGTGGGTGGCTGGTGTCCAGGGGATGAAATGGGAAATTGGGGATATATGTTATCATCACATTTTGGAAATCAGCCTTATACCTGTTGTTATTCACACACTGACATACGCTTATGAGCGGAGCCCTCCTTCCCTCACCCTTGACAGCCCTGGATGTCCTGACAGGCATTCCAGAAACTCATCCTTCTCTAAGCCCAAGGCCTGCCAACTCCGTGAGTGGAAGATTTTCTCCACCTCTAGAAATTCCCTTCCTGGCTCTGAGCCTTGCTGACACCTGTCCTGGCCAAGACAGAGGGGTATCTTCTTCTCAAGTTAGAAGGGTGCCAGGCAAAGGGCAGAAACTGCCTGAGTTGACAGCTCAGATGTAACTGCCACCTAATTACGTAACAATTATGGAACTGCAAAACACCCTGAAGCTCTCCTGGGCCTCAGAACCTTCTCTTGGGTTGCCTTCCAGCCCTAGTCCTTTTCCTTCTCACACCTAGAATCTTCCAATACCAGTGCCAGAGAAGCCCCCTGGATATAGGTCATTTGAGTCCCACTCCTTCACTGTGGGGATAAGAAAACTAAGGCCATGAAGAAGAATGACTTGCCCAGAGGCCCAGTCTCAAAATCCTCTATGCTCAGCTGCCTTTCTTACGGTAAGGCTGGTCCCGACTGTCCAATTCCTCTGACTCCACATAAAGGGTTCAGCCTTCTTTGTTGGTGGCTATTCCCCCTCACTGCTGGTGTGTAAGTCTTGAGGCTAAATCCACCCCTCTCCATCACCCTCTCACAGGCTCCCTGCTCTGGCTGTAGAGGCCACCAGCATGGTGACCTCTAGGTCTGTGGCTCTCTGGGAATGCCTGGACACACTGGTGAGTCAGGACTAGTTGGGAGCCAGGCATGTAGAACTACCCAGCTCCCCGCAGCCCACACCCAGCTGCTAGTTTGCTAGTTAAAATCTGGATATGCCTAAGGGAGCTTGGGAAAGCCTAGAGCATATGAATCCAAGACTCGTGGAAAAGCACTGAGAATGACTGCTCCCAGGGACGAAGACTGCTCTGGCAGGTGACCTAGAAAGGGGGTCATGGAGAGACGGGTGGGAGGGAATGTGAGGGAGCGCTGAGGGGCAAGGCTGTTGCCTTAACTACCTCAGGCCAACACAAGGCAAGCTACGGCTCACCCTTGGTTACCAACACCTCACAAGGACCCCACCAAGCAAAGCCAGGCTCTTTAGGGAGCTACCTCCCTGCAAGGTGACACGGATAAGGGTGAGAAGGATGGGGTCCCCTCCACATGTGCAGGCAGAAACTGGCTCCCACAGCTCTTCCCACATGAGGCTGTCTTGCCAACCCCAACACCCCACACCACGTGGAGGGCCTAGAGGACATGACGACAAGGGAAAGGAGGGGGTGAAGGGCAGGAAGCAAACACTGCTAAGTGCTTCCTTGTGCCAAGCACTGCTCCTAGTTGTTGGCACATGATGACAAATGGTTTCATCTGTGTCCTTTTCCCCCAGCCAACATCTCGTGGAGCCTGATCAGAGGAGGGGGATGGGTGGCAGTCATCATCCCCATTTTAAAATGAGAAAGGCAGGCTCCAAGAGGCTGTCAGTGGAGTCCTCCCTCCCACTGAGTGCCCTCTGGCTGCCCGGCTTTCGGCTTCTACTGCAGCCAGGAGAGGGAGAGCCAAGTCCTGCTCCAGACATAGTCTGTCCCTGCAGCGGGCCCGGGCTAAAGGCCGGGGGTAGGCTGGAGGACCTTCCTGCTGCAGCCAACCCTTTTCTCACGCTCCCATAAACGCTGGCTGCATGGGATGGGAGGAAGCGGAGGAGTTACCATTTCCCTCCGCTCTGAGGCTGCCCATCTGTTTCCTGGGATAGGCTCCCCGCCCCCATCCACCCTCAGTCTAGAAACTCACTTGCTCTGGGACTATGGGAAAAGGGAACTACAGGGCTCCCTCCCTCCCCAGAGGGCAGAGGCTTTGGCTGCTACAACCCCTTCCAGGCCTCCTGCCCTCAAGGCTCTATCTGGCCAGCTCCCACCAACAGTTCTGGACACATGAGGGGGAGGCAGGCCCCAGGTGGTACTGCCCCAGCAGCACAGTGCCCACCCTTACAGGGGCCAAGAGACTTTCCTCCCTACCCCCTTCTGGCCTGGTTGGCATCCTAGCCTGGAGAATGGGTGGGGGAGTGACTTTCTGGGTAGAAGTTTGTGGAAAGTAAAAAAAGAGTGGAACAAGGCGTCCTAGCAGTTGTCTAGATCCCCCACAGGGTCATCGGTGAGTGAGCACCGCCCCCTGCTGGACATGCTGGATACAGCAACTGTGCCATCCTGTGTTGGGTCCTGGGCAGGAATACAAGCAAGGAAAAAGCAATATTGGGCTCCAAGACTTAATGCCCTACAAACACTAGTGTTTAATAACATAGACAGCATCAAAGGCTACCTATGGTTCTACGTCAAATGAGGAATTTAAAAGAAGGGGAGCAAAATCACACAGGCTGGGGCCAACAAGGGAGGCTTTTGAGTGAAGGGTTTGCACAGAACTTGGAAAGGCAGAGAGAAGTAGGGGGGGCAGTGCAGCCCGGCAGGGGCGCGGCCTAAGCAAAGGTCACTGGGGTAGAGTATGCGGGCAGCAGGAGATGAACCAGACCAACCAAGGGCCTTGATGCCACACTAGGAAGTGGGCACTATTTAGAGCCATGGACCTTTTCCCTCAAAAGATTCTGCCCCAGAGCCCCCATATATAACACTGATAAAAGCTGAGGTGGTCTGGCCAAGGGTAAGCGGCTGGAGCTCCCCCCACCCACCCCACCAAACACACTGTGGTGGCCCTGGGTATCTCTGAAGACCTGAAGGAGCAAAGTTTGAGACCAGAGCTGAGGGCAATGGGGAGCCACTGAGGTTTCTGTGCACCTAACTGACAGGCCAGCCATGGTGTCTAACAAAGAGGGAGAAAAAAGCCACAGTGCTTGGGACAGAGTCAAAGTGGGGCTGGGGGAGCCCAAGGCAGAAACAAGGAGCTAAGAACTGGCTGCATTTCTCCAGCCAGCCCTCCTCCCACACCAGGACCCCAGAGAGCCTCAGGGTAAGTGTACGGAAACCAAAACCCTCCCTCTACCAATGGGTCCTTGTCCACTTCCCCTCACGCTGCCCACACTGTCTAATGCATCTCCTGGTTATACTATGACACTGGTCTGTCTCCCGTGTCCTCTTCATACCAACACACGCAGAGGACCTCCACAAACACCATGACTGAGAAAAAGCAAACTCCAGCCACGGTACAGAAGTGGGCAGACTCCAGAGGGCAGAGGTTAATCCTAGGTCACCAGGACTGTCTATTGAGGATACTCACCCCAGGAATGTCCAAAAGGCCTGACACCAGAAGGGGCAACTTCAGTGCTGCAACACTCCCGGTGACACCCACAAGAACGTGGAATTTTCCCTCCACCAATGATGCAGCAGCTTGACATGAGGCTCTTGGCTCCATGTGGCAACCAGTGGCTTCGAGTCCTGGAAGCCCACCAATCCTAGCCTCCATCAGGTTCTGTTAAGATTTAGGACCTAAAAGCAGAACAAGGGTGTCTCCTTCATTCGTACTTTCGACCAAAGTGCATTGAACATCATGTGTTAGATCCTAGGCCAAATACCAGTACTCCTGAGAAGTCCCTGGGTGGTGCGAACAGTTAATGCTCTCGACTGCTAACCAAAAGGTTGGAGGTTCGAGTCCACCCAGAGGTACCTCAGAAGAAAGGCCTGGCAATCTATTTCTGTAAAATCAGCCACTGAAAACCCTATGCGGCACAGTTCTACTTTGACACACATGGGGTCGCCATAAGTTGGAGTCAACTCAACAGCAAGTGGCTGGCTGAGGGGATCAGCAGTCCTCACTTCTAGGGGCATAGTTTGATAAGAATATCAGACAACCTCCAAGCCCCCGCAAGGATGTTACAACGTAATGTGACAAGTGCTATGAGAAAGGCCTATACCAGATGCTGTGGCTGCCCAGGAAGTGACTGCCTGATAAAGTCAGAGACCATTTCACAAAAAAGATGACATTCAGGTTGAGTCCTGAAGGACGAGCAGTTTTCCAGAGTAAGAAGGAAATAACTTTGAAAGAAGGAGCAACCTTGCAAAGGCCTGAAAGAGGGAGGCAGGTTTGGGAAACAGGGAGTAGCTTAGTAGTGATGCTCAGGGGTGAGGTGGGGAGTAGGGAAGTGGCAGGAGGTAAGGTTGGAAAATCAGGGCAAGGCCAGAGAGGGAAAGGTGGTGAGGGCCAGAGTGAGGAGTTTTCATTTCAGAAAGACGGTGCTGGTACTGGTGACAGCATGGAGGGGCCCTGATTGCAGAGTCTGGGGAGGGGAGAGGAGCTAAGGCAGTGGGCCTAGCTGACTGAACAAAGGGTGTGGTAGGAAGAGACAAATTCCAGAGATGCTTGTGAGGTGAAACCCTAGGTAACAAAGGGGTTTCCATGCTCCAGGGAGATAAAGGATTCACCTCTCTATCCAAGGGTAGATAAGCCTGGACACTATCCTACAAATCAACGTCCAGGAAGAGCCACCATCTCCAGGAATGCAGGCCACCCAGGAGACCAGCTGGTTGGTTTTTCTTTGCTCTCAGATGTTGCTAGAAGAGAGTGACTGTGACAAAGGGTGGAGACACCAAGACCTACACTCTGGCAGGCTGGGCCATGAAAACGCACTCACTTCAGCAATAGTCACCGAAAACCAGTTACGTCTAGAACTGGGCAAGGAATTGTGGAAGACAAAGCTGCTGCCTTCAGGGAACCTGCAGATGAGTTGAGAAGATAGGAGTCACACCTGAAACCATCTGAGATGGGTCCTTCTCTGGGGTACACCTTGTTTGTGATCACTGACTCCATTTGTACATCAGTTCCCTTACCTCTCTCCTCCCCCTGACCACCGCCACCACTACCAGCCAGCTCCTTGCAGTTGTGACTAGGCCTAATCATCAACCCCCAGTTCAGGATCAGCCACATGGTGGGTCCTCAACATCTGCTGAGTGAACAATAAATTGTATTCTCTGAGGTAGTGTGGGGCAGAGGACAAAAGCCTGGTCTGTGAATCAGGAGCCCTGGGCCTTGTCCATGGCTATGCTCCTGACTTGCTGGGTGACCTTCATCTGAATTTGCAGAGGTAGAGCCTGGTGATCTCTAAAGCTCCTTCCAGCAGAAATCTTCTGAGTCCATGCATGAACGACAGCAGTAAGGGGCTCCCTGTACAATACAGGAAGTCATGGAAGATGTACTCAAAAAGGGCAGAATCAGCAGGGAGAGGGAAGACCAAAGACCCCTAGGAAGACGTGCCATGAGCTGCCCAATGACTACTTCCCTGACTGGGTACCCATGGAGGCCGCCTCTTCACTCCACAGGCCCTTTGGCTCCCTAGGGCCTCTCTGCCCCTCCAACACTCAGACACATACCCACATGAGCTGAGGATCACGTTTGGGTTCTGTCATCTCCCTTCTACCTAGAAGGGTCTCCCAGAGCTTTCTCAGCAGCGGTTAAGCACAGGCAGGTTCCCTAGAGCAAGACCCCTGCAAAGCTCCATTTGCCAGTGATCTCAATCTCTACTCAGCTTCAGGGCCCCAGCCCAAGGCCATGCTTGCCCAGAGTTATAGAACTGATTTTTACCTTAGGACCTAGGGAGCCGTTAGCAAATGGTAAATTCCAGAGACCTACCAGCTTCTTCCCGGAACTACTAATCAGCATGCTGACCCACAGTAGGTGATGGAGGCGCATTCTTGGTTCTCCAGGGAAACGACCTGCCAGATTTCAAACCCTGACCCTGTCCTACACTAGCCAATATCTGCAACACCACAGAAGCTGAATTTCACTCTACAGCCCCCTGAACTTCCTCCACATCAAGCTGATTATCTTTTCTAGGGAACAAGTTACTGAAAGCAATCAGTTGAACTTGGGGCAGGAATCCACACTGGTGACTTCAATTGCCTCCCACAGCAAGTAGTGAAGTCCAAGATATACTTTGCCTACTGAGCAAGCTTCGCGGGGAACCAAAGCCTACCTAGCTTTCTAGAAAATCCAGGCAGGGGTGAGGGGGGTAATACTTAAGGAATGGAAATTAAATAATTTAAACATTTGGAGGCAAGGTCAAATCAGTTCAACCTGACAGTCCCAGGGAAGATGAGAGCTGGCAGGAGTCCTTTACGTTTACTCTCAAAGAGGAGCAAGTCTCAAACCAGTAAGTCTGTCACTCTATCCAGATCCTGTTGGAGTCATCTATTTGCACAGCCAGAGTAGCTGTAGACAGCATCTCACTGCCCTAGGCTCTGCTGGCCTCACAGGAACTCCTGAGCAGCAGAAAGAGCTGGCAGGCAGGCAGGAGGGCCATAGGGCTGGAGGCTGTTTATTGAACCTCGAACTCACAGGGCACCAGCCATGCAGGTAGGCCACAGCCAGAAAGATGGCAGCGTTTCTGTTCTTTAGAAAAACAGAGCCAGGCAGAGTAAGGAGCTTTGCCTTGTGACAGGCTTATGATATATAAGAATCCTTCTCTGAATTAATTACTTAAGGGCAGAGTTTAAGTAAAGGTTTCAGGGATACTTGCCAGTCACAATATGAGCAAGTGTGGAGCCAGGGCAGAGCCAAAGCTAACAGAAGGAGCAAGGTAAGCAAGGCCAGACAAGTAGTAAGCCCTGACCAACACAAGAATGAGGGTCTGAAGCCTAGGACAAAACACAACCAAACATGGGGGTGGGGGGGAGACAGGTGGTTAAGAGTCCCCCACTCAGGGACTCCAAGGTAAAGGTGGCAGAGATCCAGAACTCATTCCTTCTCCTGGCAGGATACAGCCTGAATCCTTTAGCCTAACATCAAAGCTGCTCACTACTGGCTTCTGCTCTGGCCTCATCTCCCACGGCTCCTCAACACCCTGCCCCAAAACCCAAAGACATTTAAAAGGAGTCCTGTGGCCACAGAGGCATTTTAAACCCCTTCTCCCCACCCAAGGAAAGGCAAAGGAACTCTTCAGAGAGAGCTCAAAGTATTGGCATTCTGCTAAGACTGCTCTTCGTTCAAACCAGAGGCAGGCATGCTTGACTCTGTTGCTCCTGCAATCATGAGTAAACATGAGATATATACTACATACACACGTGCATAATACAGACACATATACATATGTGCATTATATATCTATATACCCCCAGCTATATAAATATATATACTGTAGTAGAAACTGAGTACTGCCACCTCCCAGCCACTGAGAAAGTATGGAAAATTCCTACTCCCAAGACACCCATCACTTCCTCAACTTGGGTTCTCTCCTGCCCATTATTGGACACGGGCCTCCAAATATTTCAAAGGACAGCAGGAAGTCCTTTTCTAACAATATTTGGCCTCACTCTAACTTTGAAATGCCGTTCAGCACTTTTAGGTGGGTCTAGGGGATCTCTGGTGGCGCAGTGGTTGAGCGTGACGGTGAGCTACGGCTCCTAACCAAAAGGTCCGCGGTTCGAATCCACCAGCCGCTCCTTGGAAACCCTATGGGACAGTTCTGCTCTGTCCTATAGGGTCGCTATGAGGCCAGAACAACTTCAGGGCAACAGGTTTGTCTGTCTGTTTGTTTTGTTTAGGGGATAATGCCAACGTCCCATGGCTTTCTTTTTCCTATTTTACCAACTTTTAAAATACAGTTTGTACTGTGGGCAGTCCCTAATCCTTTCTGGAAGTAGGCTCATGATTTAAAAAAATGCTGTAAGTGTAAGAAGCTGGTAACTAGTTGCCATGGAGTCAATTCTGCCTGACTCATGGCCCGGCCACCTGTATCAGAGTAGAACTGTGTTCCACAGATTTTTCAACAGCTGATTTTTCAGAAGCAGACTGCCAGGCTTTTCTTTCAGGCACCCCTGGGTGGACTTGAACCTCCAACCTTACGGTTAGCAGCCCACAGCGATAACCATTTGCACCACCCATGGACTCCAAGGAATTAATAGGGCCTGTTTTTAAACTAGATAAACAGCACTGAACAAATAACCACCGAGCAGCACAAAGCTGGAAAGGGAGGGCACAGAAACAAATCCCCTAATCGGGGCTTGGAGCCCGGAGGGGGGTCCCTACTGATCCTGGCAGTCCAGGGGCACAGGTAAGAAAGTGAGGTCCCGCAGGCTCCACAGACTTTACACACGTACACACACACACACACACACGCACAGCCGAGCACCCAAAGTCGCGAGCAGATGCTCCAGCCTCCCGCCTATCCCGCCCGGAGATGCCAGCCTCAAAACCACCTTCAACTCCTCACCCGCGCCGGGCGCGTCTCGAGATAGCTCCCAAGTCTCGCGGTATCTTGGCCGTCCCTCCTGCCAGTTCTGGCTGACGCGCAGCCTCACGAGAGCCCCTAGCAGGCTGCGTAGTCGCGCTGCCTTCTGGGAGTTGTAGTCCATTTGTTTCCTGGGAGTTGTAGTCCACATGGGGGACTCCTGAAGTGAGCCTTGTCTCTGTTTTTTGGCATTTCTGATGCTCCCGCGAGGGCCTGGCCTAATTGTCCGGCTTTCCCGACCACCTGAACCCCTCCCACACATACACAGTGCTCATCACTCGGTCGCTTAACACTGAATATTTACCAAGCCTCTTCTGTGTTCTAGGTGCACAGGGCACAGAGATAAATCAGACATGTCCCAGCTCTCGAGACAAACAAGGATACAGAAAATTACAGGATAAGGCCGAGTGGGGAAGCCAGAGGAACCTGTGGAAGCAACAACTCCGGGTAGGTAAGCCTTCTCAAAGGAGGCGTCACTTGAGCTGACTCTTGAAGGATAGCCAGGAGTTTTGATAGAAAGGGGGCCGGGGCAGCATCCCAGGGGGAGGGCACAACACTGGCAAAGGGAAAGCACAGGAGAAAGCATGTTGGGAACACTTCCCCCCTGCCCTCTTCATTCTCCAACATTCCCAGGGCCCCAGGATCCCTTGTGTTTACTGAGGCTGCTCAAACAGCCGCCTGTCTCCCAGGGTAAGAGCTGAGGTGGGGCCATGTGCTCTACTCCTGTCCTTGCCCACAGTGAACCATCTGAACCATAGTCCCTCAACCTATTCCTCCTACTTCCTCCTCAAGGATCTTGGGGAACACAGAACTTCCTCCTAACTGGTAGGAGGGCTTTGTGGCAATTTTGAGGCCTACTCAAAGCCTCCTTGGAGAAAGAACCACACGGGGGTGTGTGGCTTTTGGCCCCAGGGAATGACAGACCAGAGACCCATCCGACCCACCATACGTCCATGCCCCACACCCAACAGTGAGGCTCCACGCAGCTACTATGCAGACTCAGATGAAAACACATGACACAGCAGGACACACAGGGTCAAATGTTTCCCTTTATTAAGTTTCACTCAGTTACCACGGACAGATACACTGGCTCAGGCAGGTCAGCTGCCAGCTAGGGAGTAGTCCGTCTCCCAGAAACAAGGAGGGGCAGTGGGCACCAGGAGAATGCGAAAGCGGGTCACTGGCTGGCCACGGACTTCAGGATCCTCAGAACTGACCTGGGCCCTTCCCCAACTCCCCTCAACCCCCCAAGCCAGGCCATCCAGCAGACAGGAATCTGTGCCCAGCCCTCATTTCTCATACTAGTCCCCTCCCCAGGAAAGTGCATAGTTGCCTGGAGATGCAGCACCCAGGGCCTGGGTAAGCTGGGCCACACATAGATAATAGGCCTTCCCAAGGGCAGAGCCAGGCCATGGCCATACAGGTCTGAGCCAAGGAAAGAGGAAGGGCAGGTAGGACAGGAAATCAACTGGAGGTACCACCGAACAGGTCATGGATGTCAGGCAAGCAGCTGAACCACAGGCTTCTTGGGACCACCAGAGAGACTTGGGGAAAAGGGAATCAGAGGTTTGGGGGGTGGGGGGTGGAGGGAAGGAAGGGCCTGGACCTAGGACCCCTTTTCAGGTACCAGGAGCTGTGACAACTTCTTTCCAGAGAGAAAGTGGGAGTGGAAAGAACCAATCACACATTTTGTGGCCCAAGCCCAAAGGACCACTAGGAAGAGAACTTTCCAGGGGCCCCTGGTTCCCCTTACAGAGAACTGAAGTACCTGGAGCTCAAAGGTCAGAGTGGCACCTGGAAGCCCAGGTGCTGGGTTCCAAGCTGGAGCAAGCTCAAAGTGGCCAAGTGGGATTTGGTTTTTCAGACCAAACATCCCAGGTGGGCTTCTGTTAGAAGGAGGCAGTGGGAAATGGACAACTGCTCCTTGCATGAGAACCCAATCCCCTCCAGGTCTCAGACAGAGCCGGGGCCTCCACCAGCAATGTTCTCACACTGTTTGGAACAGAATAGCCCCGCGGGCCTGAATGGCTCTCCTGGAAGGGGAAGCAGATTCTGACAGGTTGGGAAAAGTCCAAGAACCAAGTCCAGAAGGCAGAGGGGAGCAAGTTATCCTGTTTTTAAAAACAAACAAACATAGCCTCTCCTTCACCCCACCTATCCTGAAATCCCATTCAGGCCATTGTGCTTGCAGCTAGGATTGGGCCTGTGCTTCTTCCCGGGCCCTGAGTTCAAGTGCCCAAAACTGCCCTGCGACCAAGAGCAAGCTGGGGTGAGGGAGGCATGCTCCCTGCTCAGTGGGCCCTACCTGCCTTCTCTGACCTTCCCTTTACGCCTAGCCCTCTCCTCTGAGCCCTGTCCCTTCTACCAGACCCAAGCAGGACACTGCTGCTCCGAGGAATCCAATGGTCACTCAGAGATACCTAGAACCTGACCAGTGGGCTTGGGCCAGCCAGACCTCAGCTAGGGTCCAATAATTATTACATGCCCTCTGCTCCAGCTACATCTTTATGCCTGACGACTTCCTGGATGTGACCCAACCTTCAGGGAAGGCAGTGGAATCTGTCCTCATGGATGGCCATGCCACCTGGCACATGGCCGGGCAAGATAGGGAGATTAGGCCACAGCAGCTGGGGCGACGGGGAGGATGGGGAGAAGCATGGGCGAGGGGCTCAAGGAGACTCTGGGAGCAGAAGGAGAATAAGATGGGAGGAAAAAGAGGAGCCCGCCTGTGCAGGCCAAGCTCTCGGAATCAAGGAGACTGAGCCTACATTTCCATTCCCTGGGATTCAGGTACCAGGTGGGCTCTCATCTTCAGCTGTGTGCCCCTCCCATACCAGAGCTAAGGCTCAGCTCTCATCAGCTTCCTTGATCTGGGAATGGGCTCAATCTTGGAAGCAGATACAACTGGGAAACTCAGACTTGGGGAAGACAAAGAAACGCCACGTGGGGAAAAGAAAGACCCTGGGCAGGGGGAAATACCACAGGGAATTGGACAGCAGGGAAGAGAGGAGGGGAGGATGAGGCTGAAGAGGGAAGAGACCCAACCCAGATGGATCAGAAGGAACAAGGGAAGATCCTCTGCCTGTCCCACCCCCCAATCTACTGCCACCATGAATGCTAAATACTGTTACTTTCCAGTAAGACCCAAAGTGGAAACACTTTCAGCTCATAACCCTGGGAAGGGGGTCAGGCTCTCTGGCATGCCTTCCCCTACCCCACGCAGTCCTTGGGTCAGGGTCAGAGGAGGCAGCCTGGTGGAGGGTGGATGGCTGGTTTAGTTCTAAACACACATCTAGCACCACAACAACAGAGACCTCCACTGCACACGATTTCACAAGGGAGTACAGACACAGCTACCACCACACGGGACAGCTCCACGTGCAGCCCACAGCTCTCAGCGTGTGAGAGCAGAACCCAAAGTGGGGAGGAGGGGATAGGCATAAACATATATATATATACATACATACATATATGTGTGTATATATATATACATAACTGATTCTTTGTACAAAGTGGTGGAGAAGGAGAAAAGGGAAGGGGGAACCCTGCTTGGACACCACAATGGACGATGTGGCTTGAGCCCCCTGTCCTACTGGCCCCCAGCCCTGCCTCCCAGTAGGCTTGGCTGGTTCACATCTCATTGGAGTATGTGTAGTTGGGGGTGGCAGAATACTGGGTCTGCGGTTGATTCATGGCACCCTGGGCCGCCCCCATGGCTGCATTCTGGGCTGCCTGCTGCACGTGTGGGTTCTTCCATGCCCCCGTGGTCCACTCCTCCTGGGCTTTGCTGAAACTCCCCCCGCTGCCCCGGTAGAATTTATGAACCTGCAGGAGGAGGAGCATAAGCAAGGGTTAATCAAAGGAAGAGGCAGCCCTCCAGGGAACAGATGGGGCCCAAGGGCAAGTTACCATAAAAAACCAATCTTCCCTCCTCACACATGACCTATGCACTAGTGGGAAAATCCACCAGGTATTTCCAGAGTGAGTCCCTTGGAGGACCTCTGGATCCTTCTATAACTTGGAGGAGGGGTTGTCACAAATCACAGTCCCTTCCCAAAGCCACCCTCTTGCCCTCAAGGTGGTCACATACCATGCTGAGGGCAATGAAGGAAAAGACGGCCATGACTGTGAACATGATGGTGGGAATGAGCATCACCACCGCTGAACCAACGTTTGTTCCGAAGAAGGAGATGGTGGCAATCCAGCCGCTGCAGGAAGAGGCCAGTTATAGAACTGCCCAGGCATGGTGAGGGGTACCCAGGAGCCACCCCACTGGAGCAAGGGACCACCTCATTGCCACATGTCAATCACACGGAGGGGCCATGTCATTGGATGCAGAGGGATCATCTTACTGATACCCCACATCAGTGGTTCAGGAAGAATCCTTCCCCCGTGGCTTGGGAGACATGCTCCTCAGACACACGGCTTCCTTCTTCCAGATTCTTCCACAATACTAGGTACTCCACTCCCACTCTCCCCTGCGATTAGTGCCAGGTTCTCCTTCCCCTCTGATGTACTATCCCAAATTCTCTCACTCTTCCAATAACCAGTCACAGACTAGGCAGCTTAGCACACAGAGGCCAGCAAAGGACACCCCTACTAGCCCCAGGCCAGTCCCTTGCCTCTTACCAGACACCCCAGCCTGGGATGCCCACAGCCTGGATGATGCTGATGACCAGCTGGGCCATAAAGGTGAAGAAGAATGCCATGAAGCTGAAGGAGCTGTCAGTCCTGCAACACAGGAGATGGCTCCTATTACCTAGGCAGAGGGCCAGGGCTTCCCTTCCTTCAAGGCCCTCAAGCCCTTCCAAGTTTAAATGAGTGTACAATGGACAGAAGACACTTAAAGGTCTTCAATGAAGGTCCAGGATGAGACATATTTTATCCATGGATCCTTGCAAATTTCCATGTGTTGGGCCTGTGTGTGCAACTTTACAAAAGGAGGGATCTCCTCATGAATGGACCACCCACTGGCACATGGATGGATGGCTCCACTGGCACAGAAATAGATGACTCCAATGTGGCAGGAGCAAACAACCCATTGCCAAAGGTATGGACAGCCTCACTGGCACCAAGACAGCAAGCTCTATTGGTATGTGAATGGATGATCCCATAGACTCAGAGACAGAAAGCCCCATTGGCACTAGGATAGATACCCTATTGGCATCAAGATAGCGTCAGGTCCTAATGGGCACATAGATGGATGGTCCTATTAGCAAAGAGATTGAAGGCCCCATTGGCACTGAGATGGATATCCTATTAAATGGAGACAGGCTTGTTGGTACACGGATGAATAGTCCCATTGGCACAAAGACTGAAAAACCCGCTTGGCACTAGGATGGACACCGACTGGCACCAGGACAGCTAGACCCACTGATGCATGGATGGCTGATCCCTTTGGCACAGAGTTGGATGACCTCATTAGCACATGAATAGTGTCAGTGGTATGTGGCAATTCCACTGACACATGGATAGATGCTCTCCTGGCACCAAATCAGCTAGGTACAAGGATGGGCATCAAGACAGGTGGCCATTGTCAAAATCCAACATGCAGCTGCCTAAGGAAGGTGAAGGCAGAAGGCAAAAATAGGCCATCTCTGTGCTGCCCCCACATAAAGGTAGAGTGAGGATGGAAAGCACTAAGAGGAAGACTCTGCCTCCCAGCCCCCTCACCCCAGCATGGAGGCCCCAGGAGGCCCAAGCCCTTGGCAGTCTGAGACAACGGTGACCAAAAGAAAATGAGTTCGAAGGTGGTAAAAAACAAAGGGTGAAAAAAAAGGAGAGAAGGGACAGGGGAAATGGGCAAAGAGACAAGGCTAGGAGCTGGGGTCAGCACCAACTACTTACTTGAAGGCCTTGTAAATGGGCCGAAACCAGCAGACGTAGGAGCAGGGTGTGAAGAGGATGAGCCAGAGAAAGGCGAGGCCAAAGTTGGTGGCTCCCCCGCCTCCGATCAGCCACGCGAGACAGCCCACCAGGTTCACGGCCAGCGTGACGCTGTTCACTGCAGACCCAGGAGCACATGCACACACAGAGACGGACACCAGACATGCACACAGACACCCAGACCCATACAGAGATACATGAACCACCAGACATGGACACACACACGTCCATAACTCAACACAGACCGGCAATCGAACACATGCAAATAGACACAGACAAGCGCAGAGATATAGATGGACATGGATAGACACACAGTCACAAATACACACCCACATGCCAACCACATATACACAGATTCATACCCACACAGAAGACCCACAAACCCACATCAGTGAATACACACACAGTCCCATGCATATACACACAGACACACGGAATACACATACAGACATACACACACACAGAGGGAGTACAAATTGTAAGAAAGTAAGCCCCTGGACCTCCCAGACCCATATCAGTCACCAAGCCCAAGACACAGAAAACCATTCTTATACCTTCTCTTGAAAGGCAGGGGCATAAGAAGGGGGAAATAAAAGGCCTTATGGAAACATCTCTTCAAGCACTGTGCCATCTGCCCTGCACTTAAATGGGGCAGGCGGTGCTGACTGGGATCTCGGTCCTCATCTAATCCATTTCCTAGATACCTGTCATACCACCTCCTCCTGGAAGCCTTCCTTCACTACTGCAGCCATATTCACCTCCTATCCTTCTGACCCCCTGCAGACCTGGACTGCTCTCCTGGTTCCCTGGGTACAAATCCCAGCCCATCAATCAGACTAGAAGCTTCCCAAGAGCTGGATCCTGGCTCCACCTCCTCTGTCCCCACATAATCTAGCTGAACCTAGGAATCAAAATATCACTGAGTCACAGCCAGCAGGGACATTTCAAGGCTCCTCATTTTACAGATGAGAAACCTGATCCTGGTAATAACACACACCCAGGTCACTGAATCAGGGAACTCCCTTTCTCAAACATTAGGCTGAGTCCTTTTAAGGCTCCACAAAGAACTGCTGGACAAATACATAAAGGAAGACAGTCTCAATCTTGGCCTCAAACAGCCAGGCATCTATGGTCCTAGCTTCTGAGTTGAACCTTTAAACATCTCAAGCGCTTTATTCAGTTCCTTGGGAGCAAAGTATCTGGCAGGTACCTAGTGAGGATTTAGGGAGATATTAATAGTCCATAAATCCAGCTTCTGGATGAAAGCTTCTGCTCTCAGAAGCGGAGTTCCTGGAGCCCAGGGTCAAGTATAGTGCTCCCCAAGTCTGACTGAACCTGACAACCCTGTCGCCTGTGTAGATAAACCCATCTCAGGGTCCTTCATAATGAGAGTGGACATTTCTTCATGTGTGTTGCAGCTGTATTTCCTCCTCCATGACTCATCTATCCCTGTTCATTGCCCCAAAAATTCCTGGAGCCTTGGTATTGTTATTCATTTTATTTACTCTTTACATGGAAAAGGCATTAACCCTTTATTATATTGGTGAACACCTCTCTTACTAGTTACACTTCTCTCTAGCACACTTGCTCAGTGCCCTCTTCGAAACAGTCATCCATCTTCCTCCATCCATTAGCTTTTTTCTATCTTCACTTCTCTACTTGTCCAGCTCAGATTCCATAATTCATTACAATCATTCTTCTATTTCTTCGTGCCCTTTCTTCTGGTCACACTAACCCTGCATGAGCATAACTCCCATCTGTGCCTGAGCTGAGTGTTGCTAGGAAAAATGACACAACAGGAAAGCCTGGTAGGACTATGAATTCAAGGCAGCCAATCTCACCTGGACCCAGGGGAGGCCCAGTGCATGGTCCAGAAGTCCTACCAGGTTTCTGTGGAGGACAGTGTCTTAACTCTCTTCCACAAACATGCTCTCATTCTAATCCCACTCTCTTCAAACCTCCCGCTCCCACTTCTACATCATATTTGATGGAGAAAAATGCAAGCCATCAGAGGTAATCTCCTCATTTTCTTTCTAACATCTACAGACCTACCTATACCTCCCCACCCCCTTCTCCTTCTCTCATGTTATCACGGGGGAGAGATTCCTTCTCTGCCCAAAGGCCAAGCCAGGCTGGAAATCCAGTCTGTCTGTCCTCTGAGCCCACTCTTTCTACCAATCCATGAAGGATCTAGCTACAAAGACAGCATTCTTGACCACCTTCCTATACAAACAATCCACTCCCTGAGTAAGCAGCTATCTGCAGGCCTGACTCAAGACAATGTCACATATGGCAGACCCTTGCTGTGGTCACACTACATGTGTCTGGGGCTCCCTGGGGCAGGTACCCAGCACAAGACAGCCAGCTTGCTCCCCTTTCGCATGCCTAAGAGGTACCTTCTGACCAGTCTGGGCACAGCCAAGTCCCATCTCCCCAAGATGACACCCTTCCCACCAACCTGCCACAGACCATCAGAACCTGAGGCCTTTAAACTCTCGACTTCAAAACCTCAGAACGTTAGAACCCTAGACTCCTAAAGGAATGAACCACACGACACTGAGCTACATGGAACCACAGAGATTACTGAGTCAATACCCTCTTTCTACAAATGAGGAACCTGCTATCCCCACAGCAAAGTGGCCTGTGGAGCGACCAGTCAAGCTTGACCCTGTATCTCCCAATTCCCACTTGAATGTTCTTCTTTTTGAGCAACTTTTGAGAGGAAGCAAGAAAAATGGGGCTTTGAGGGAGGGATTCCTCTCCAAATCTGGCATCTTGAGGTCCTGGAGGTCACCAGAGGTTCCTGGAAAACTGGCCCAGTAGAAAGGGGAGTGGGGAGCAAAAACAGAGGAACTGCACTGCCAAAAGAGATCCCCATCCAGATGTTCTGTGAATGGGAGATAGGGGAGGGGAGGGAGGTGAGGCTTAAATTGGGGGTTGAGAGAAACTGAGGCCCAACTAGGGAGTCGGCCCATGCAGATGCTACAAGTGGGGATGAAGAATTGCTGGGTCTGAGGGCATTCCACCCCAATGCCCAGCAGGCACCAGTCTCCCTCCCTCCTCTGCCCCGCCCTCACCCACTCCCATCCCCACCGTACTCACACATCCAGAGGTAGTAGAGGCGCTTGGTCATGCTGAGATGCTGGGGAGGGATGTCTGCCTCGAAGTCTTGGTAGAAACATGGCTTCAGTGGGATGAATTTGGGCAACGGTGGGAAGTTGTTCACTTTCTCTGTGGGGGAGGCGCACCACATGTCAAAAACCACCCAAACCCACTGCTGTTGAGTTGATTCTGACTCACAGTGACCCTAAAGGACAGAGCAGAACTGCCCCATAGGGTTTCCAAGTAGCGGCTGGTAGATTCGAACTGCCAACCTTTTGGTTAGCAGCCGAACTCTTAACCACTGCACCACCAATATTCTCCTTCCCAACAATCCATGGACCCAATATGATTACCCTTACCCTGGCTGAGCTTCCCCCTTGGCCCCTGTGGCCAGAGGCCACTTTGCTATCCCCACCATTTGCTATCTGCCATGACAATCCCAAAGTAACCAAAGACCCTGATTCAGGGTCACTGTCTCTTAGAAAATTAAAATAATAATAATAAATGCTGTCCATCAGGGGCACAGCACCCTCTTCAGTGGGGAGCCATTTCCAGGCACAGAAGTGGGATGAGTGAGAGTCTGGAGACCTAGGCTTCAACCTCCACTCCAGTATTCATGCTCTTGGGCAAGTCATGGCCCATCTCTAAACCTTAGTTTATATAGTGGGGAGGGGGCTGGGCTAGGTGGTCCTTAAAGCCCAAGGAAACTCAGAAACTAGAGTGAAAAGGTCTTAGAGTATTGGAAAGCAATGGTGACAACGGGGACAGGGGCTCAGCCACTCATGCCAGGCTAATCAGTCAGACGGACAAGGACATCAGGATACTCAGTCCTTGGTCTCCAGGGCCAGAGATCTGGCAAAGGGCTAGATAGTGTCATGTCGGGGTTCTTGAATAGACAGGCCTCAGTGGGGGGACTAGGAAGAACCTGGGGACAAGGTGGGGGAGCTGAGAGGACAAGGAAGACGGCATCCCATCCTTTGCTCACCTTCATGCCCTGCCCAAAGGCCTAGCCCCATGCCTTACCCTCCATGATGGCACCAGCCAGCCCAGCAGCCTGCCCACACTTCTTTGTCCCGACCTGGGAAGAGAAGCCAGAGAAGGATGAGGATCAGAGCCCTGTACATCCTCGTCCCTTTTTCATCCCCACCTGGGCTGGATGCTCCCTGGGACAGGACCAGGTTCAGACTTCGCTGGCTCCCCCAGTGGATTGAACCCATGGGGCAGCTCCCCACCTCAGAGCCACTATCCCACTGGCCACACCCTTCCATACACTCCTGCCCTTCACCTCAAATTCTATCCTCAGAAAACCCCATCCAAGACTAGGAAAGGAACCTGGGAGGGGACTATGCGGGGAAAAGTCAAGTGACAGAAAAAGACTGAGGGGACCAGAAACCTCTGAAAGAGGAAATTCTATTCCCTGACCCCAGCACACGTTGAACCTTGGCCTCAGTCACAGGCTGGGCTCCCCTCCTCCTGCCATCCTGCTTTCGGTCATTCGTTCACTTGTTGGGAGCCTATGATTACCAAGCACTTGTTGGGAGCTATGAGTCAGAATCGACTCAACGGCAATAGGTCAGGGGAGACAGCAAACAAGACAGACATGGTCCCTGCCGTCTACATGCAACAGTCAATAACCTCTACAGTAAATACTACAAAAGGGAAGTATGGCTGCTATCAAGGTTATTTAACCTGGTCTGGGGGGTCTGGGATATTAAACACAAGTGGAGACCTGAAGAATGAAGAAGAGTTACCCAGGGCAGGGCAGACTTCTGAGCAGAGGGAAAAGCACTTCACAGACCCTGATGCAGGAAGGAGCTTAGTGCTTTTAAATAATGGAAAGAAGCCACTGTGGCTGAAGCAAACGAGGAAGCAGTAGGTAAGGCTGGAGAGATGAGGTGGGCAGGGTGTGGTTCTTGAGACCCCTAGGAGGCAGTGACCTGGAGGTGACTGGATTTGAGGATGGGGGAGAGGGAGGCAATCAGAAAAATCACCTGCCAGCTTAAGCCACTGGGTGGGTGATAGGGCTGTTTCCTGAGATGGGAGCAGGCATGAGAAGAGGAGCAAGGTTCAGGGGAAGACGAAACACTGTGTTATGAGCATGCCGAGTGTCAGGTGCCCGTGAGACTCCCATGCAGGGATGTCTTGCAGGCATTTGGATTACGCAGGCCAGGAACTCAGCAGGAAGCCTGGGCTAAGACATACATTAAAAGATCATTGGTGAAACGGAACAACC